CAACAACTGCTTTTCGCGGATGATGTGGTTCTGTTGGCTTCATCGGGTGATGGCCTCCAGCTCGCACTGGAACGGTTCACAGCCGAGTGTGAAGCAGCGGGAATGAGGATCAGCACCTCCAAATCTGAGGCCATGGTTCTCAGCCGGAAAAGGGTGGAGTGCCCACTCCAGGTCAGGACAAGTTCCTGCCCCAAGTGGAGGAGTTCAAGTATCTCGGGGTCTTGTTCGCGAGTGATGGGAGAAGGGAGCCGGAGATCAACAGACAGATTGGTGCGGTGACAGTGATGCGGACGCTGCACCGGTCCATCGTGGTGAAGAGGGAGCTGAGTGTAAAAGCAAAGCTCTCAATTTACCGGTCGATCTACGTCCCTACCCTCACCTATGGCCACGAGCTGTGGGTAGTGACCGAAAGAACGAACTCGCGGATACAAGAGGCGGAAATGAGCTTCCTCCGAAGGGTGGCTGGCCTCTCCCTTAGAGATAGGGTTAGAAGTTTGGCCATCCGGGAGGGGCTCAGAGTAGAGCCGCTGCTGCTCCACATTGAAAGGAGCCAGCTGAGGTGGTTTGGGCATCTGACAAGGATGCCTCCTGGGGTTGGTGTTCCGGGCATGTCCCACCGGGAGGAGGCCCCGGGGCAGACCCAGGACACGCTGGAGAGATTATATCTCTCGGCTGGCCTGGGAACGCCTTGGTGTTCCCCCGGATAAGCTGGAGGAGGTGGCTGGGGAGAGGGAGTTCTGGGCTTCTCTGCTTAGGCTGCTGCCCCTGCGACCCGGCCCCCGATAAAGCGGATGAAGATGGATGGATGGATGGAGATATGTCAACACTTCTGGATTTGTATGTTTCAGCAGAAGTGAGAGCAGCTCTAGCACATGTGACGACATCATCAGATGTATCTTTGTCCTCTGGTTGATAATCTATTGTCCTCAGAAAGATGGTCAATTATATTGCTATGCTTTTTGTGTCCTCTCATCTTTAGCAAAGATACGATCAAGAGTTTGGCTTATTGTAAATCTTCTTATTTTTGTATGCTACAAACTGGAGATGTGTACTCTCTCTCTCTCTGATAATGTGGGAGAGCTCAGAGTGTGTTTATGATTTCAGTTTTAGCACTAAAACCGAAATCATAAAACTGTTTAGTTTTATAGTCTTATATTATAACTGTGTCGAAACCAACCCCAACACACAAAGGTCATCATTTTCACCAGAACTTTTTATAATTTAGTTAAATTCAGTTTTTTGTTTTGTTTTGTTTAAATGGAGATTCCTGACAAAGTCTAATGTCTTGTTGAAATAAACAAATTTAATATCCACTTTTATGCATTTAAAACCTAAAAACGGGCCACTGCCGACCCTAATGCAAGAGGAAGGTTAAGTATTTTGGAACAAAGTTTTACCAGTTTTTTTGAAGGTCTTTCAAAGTTTTTCCTTGGACATTGTCTGCTTTGTCACTTCTTTCCAGTCCAGCCCTTGCACTTGACCACTTCAGAGAAGTGTTTTTCTTTTGTGTTGGTTTATTAAGCCACTTTACATTTATCCTTGTCCTTCAGACAAAAAAGCCTATCTACAAATGACAGATAACCTAGCAAAGAGCCCATTTTAAACTGTTGTTACAAGTACACTATCACAAAAACACAGAATTTGTTCCCAGTATAGGTATAGAATATAGAAAACAATGATTCCCAAAGAGCTATTAGCTGGAAACTTGGTGAACGGAATATCAGAAACGGAATATCAGAAATGGTCTCAGTTGTGACTGTCAAGAAGCCCTTCTTAAGGTAAATTAGAAGGAAAGGCTGAGATAAGCGAAATTGCATAAGAACTGAAAATCAGTGGCAGCAGGTTTTTATCAGTATTGTAAAGTGCCATATTTTGATCAAACCATGCAGTACTATCTGGAAAGTGTCTGACTGGCTGCACAGCTCTGAACACAACAAAAGGCAGTCAAGGTCCAAAGAAGAGATTTGGATGTCCTTCAAGAAGCCTAGAGAACTATTTCTTGAAGACATTACCTGAAGGCTTGCATAAGCGAGTTCAGTCTATGTTGACTAAAGATGGTCATACAATCTTGATTTTCCGATTTGCTTCTGTAGTGTATTTCCATGTATGTTTGCAACAATTTCCCATTCTCCTAGCAAAATATACAGAAATTAGGGTCATTTGAGACTTTGTCACAGGACTGTAGTTGAGTAATAATTCAGTACTCAAACTACTTAGACCAAAATATCTATAAAGAGTCAAAATGACATGCCTAATTATGAAAAGATGCATGTCATTGGCATTAAATTACAATCAATTTAAAGCTTTTAATGATAATGTTCAAATTTTTCTAACATGCACATATTTCTGAGCTCACACAACTTTCCAATGTCCTCAATGCACCAGTTGCAGGACAAGTAGACTGACAAATAGGTGTGTTGGTATATTTTCCAAGTATGTTAGTTATATGAAATCATGGTATCTTTGTGTATTTTATTGAGCAGACTAACATGCAGACACGTACACATTCTGCTTTTCAGAAACGTGCCTGTGTTACTTGTAGTACTAATCGGGACCAGGACACAGTGGATAATTAACTTCTTATCCTTGGTTCCGATCTGTCTCTGTGGGTGAATAAGATAGTGGTTGTGATGGTGAGAAGTCAACACATGGGTGCACACAGAATATCAGAAATCTACTATGTAAATAGATATGTGAATAACCAGGTTTCTCCTGCTCCATTTAATACACATGCTGATTTTATAGGTCACATATCCAGTCATTAAAAAAAAAAAACCCACTGGTGATATTTTTCATACACTGTCCTGGTGCTCTTTTCACCCACTAACATGCACCTGATAAACAGCTTAAGAGCTTTAACAAATACAAATACACCATGCACTCAGGTTTGAGTGATGCTTGCTGAAAATTAGGGACGACTAACAGTGTCATTACTAATATATCTGCCCGATACTTTCTCAGGTATTTTGGGTGATCTGTAATAGAGCTAAAGGCCCCAAAGACTCACTTTACTATCAGGAAACCAGCAAATATTCACCTTAACTGAAACCAGTCAACTTAGAGAATTTTACTTAAAAAAAAAAAGAAAAAAAAAGATTTAAGTCACTATTTAATCATTAAATCTGTTGCTGATTGACTAACTATTGATTTAACTATACAGGGAGTGCAGAATTATTAGGCAAGTTGTATTTTTGAGGAATAATATTATTATTGAACAACAACCATGTTCTCAATGAACCCAAAAAACTCATTAATATCAAAGCTGAATGTTTTTGGAAGTAGTTTTTAGTTTGTTTTTAGTTTTAGCTATTTTAGGAGGATATCTGTGTGCGCAGGTGACTATTACTGTGCATAATTATTAGGCAACTTAACAAAAAACAAATATATACCCATTTCAATTATTTATTTTTACCAGTGACACCAATATAACATCTCCACATTCACAAATATACATTTCTGACATTCAAAAACAAAACAAAAACAAATCAGCGACCAATATAGCCACCTTTCTTTGCAAGGACACTCAAAAGCCTGCCATCCATGGATTCTGTCAGTGTTTTGATCTGTTCACCATCAACATTGCTTGCAGCAGCAACCACAGCCTCCCAGACACTGTTCAGAGAGGTGTACTGTTTTCCCTCCTTGTAAATCTCACATTTGATGATGGACCACAGGTTCTCAATGGGGTTCAGATCAGGTGAACAAGGAGGCCATGTCATTAGTTTTTCTTCTTTTATACCCCTTCTTGCCAGCCACGCTGTGGAGTACTTGGACGCGTGTGATGGAGCATTGTCCTGCATGAAAATCATGTTTTTCTTGAAGGATGCAGCCTTCTTCCTGTACCACTGCTTGAAGAAGGTGTCTTCCAGAAACTGACAGTAGGACTGGGAGTTGAGCTTGACTCCATCCTCAACCCGAAAAGGCCCCACAAGCTCATCTTTGATGATACCAGCCCAAACCAGTACTCCACCTCAACCTTGCTGGCATCTGAGTCGGACTGGAGCTCTCTGCCCTTTACCAATCCAGCCACGGGCCCATCCATCTGGCCCATCAAGATTCACTCTCATTTCATCAGTCCATAAAACCTTAGAAAAACCAGTCTCGAGATATTTCTTGGCCCAGTCTTGACGTTTCAGCTTGTGTGTCTTGTTCAGTGGTGGTCGTCTTTCAGCCTTTCTTACCTTGGCCATGTCTCTGAGTATTGCACACCTTGTGCTTTTGGGCACTCCAGTGATGCTGCAGCTCTGAAATATGGCCAAACTGGTGGCAAGTGTTATCTTGGCAGCTGCACGCTTGACTTTTCTCAGTTCATGGGCAGTTATTTTGCGCCTTGGTTTTTCTACACGCTTCTTGCGACCCTGTTGACTATTTTGAATGAAACGCTTGATTGTTCGATGATCACGCTTCAGAAGCTTTGCAACTTTGAGACTGCTGCATCCCTCTGCAAGATATCTCACTATTTTTGACTTTTCTGAGCCTGTCAAGTCCTTCTTTTGACCCATTTTGCCAAAGGAAAGGACGTTGCCTAATAATTATGCACACCTGATATAGGGTGTTGATGTCATTAGACCACACCCCTTCTCATTACAGAGATGCACATCACCTAATATGCTTAATTGGTAGTAGGCTTTCGAGCCTATACAGCTTGGAGTAGGACAACATGCATGAAGAGGATGATGTGGACAAAATACTCATTTGCCTAATAATTCTGCACTCCCTGTATTTACACCCAGCTAAAAGCTACAGAGTACAGTAATAAGTGGTTAACAAGCCTGTAAAAACTATAAAACTATTATTTGTGGCACTTTTAGTCTAGATTTTGGTCTTTACTGGCAACCACTAGGGCTTTGTAAAGCCTGAAATGTTTAGTCTTTTGGGTTATTATTGTGGAATTTATTAAAGAGATTTCTCGCATCAGCAACCTTTTACTCCAGTGCAGTATTTTTCACTGTGTGGACTGTTTGTCTGACTATACTGTTCAATGCACATTTTACCTCCAGGTGCTGGATAAACACAAAGCGATGGACAGCATGGTGGAGCTGCTGCAGGTGTACCCGGAGGAGGACGAAGCGTATGGAGAGCTGCTGGAAGCCACAACTCAGCTCTATCACTACCTGCTTCAGCCCTTCAGGGACATGAGGGAACTGGCAATGTTGCGCCGACAGCAGATTAAGGTAATACACACAGGCACACTGATACAAATACCATCTGTTTGAGGGGCTTGATTTAAGTAGGTTTAGCACTAGCTATTGCCGACTAACTGGTCGGCGTGCTCTACAGTGGTGCATGTTAGCAGTTAAAGTGCTGTTGCTATGGTTTGATTAGTGCTGGAAAACGATCCCTGAACCGCTGCATGATGAGCCTACACTTCTAAGCCAAGTGCATTGACCAGCAGTGTTAGGTGTTTAGGCTGGGTGCAGTGGTATTGATGGTTGGGTAGTAGCCGCTCTGCGCTATGCATTTGCTACTGGGGGCTGTGGAGGTCAGAGGATCAGCAGAGAGGCTTTCCCCCAGCGCAGAGCAGCTTAACCAGCATAAGTATTATTGCAGCAGTCACTAAACCACTCAGTAATTCTGCAGCCTCAGCACAGCCTTCTGTTTCCCACTCTCTTTCTCTGCTCTGTCTTTGTTGCTTTTCTTCATTAGGCTTGGAAAGGGAAGTAAATCCACAGACTAATCCCTACTGTCTCACAGACTTCATGGAGAGGAGGAGGCACATGCCTGCTCAGTCAGTAGGTCAGAGTTCTAGCTGCTTCTCGTACACTTGTCCAAAAGCTCAGCGGATAAGAAGTGATATACATAACATTGAAATTCAATAGAAAATTGGATAAGTCAGCTGATTTCTCACTAATATGATAGTTCATATTTTCAACCAAGACAATCAGACTAGAAGTTAGCTAGAGTAAAAATAGGACAACAACTGTCTTGCAACTAGGTCAGGTTGCTGTGATTGAATTTCTTTACATTCAGTCACAAATTGCAAGTGGTCAGGGTGATCACCTGATTGCCCACAGACTGGTCATGCAGCATCCCTGACTTTTGATCACAAGGCGACTGCCTGGGTTGTCTCTTGGGAGTCATCCTGTATCCAAATAGTTGTGGTCTAGCTCAGACTGATTGCAAACACTGTCAGACAGATTGGTGAATGTTTGTAAATAATTGCCATTAATTTCTAAACAGAGTCAGTCTACACTGATAAGCACATTTCGTTTCATGGACATTAATTTAATGGACAATAGAAATAATGTCCCATACAGTCCCTATTACTATCTCTCTACCTGTCTTTTGTTCTCTTTCATAGACTGTCTCAGTCTTTCACCCACAGTTGGGCTGTGAGTATTTTACATTGTCAACATGCCTTTCACAGCATGCTTATTCGGCATCTTGTCACTAACAACACAAGTGCCTGTGTGTGTGTGTGTGTGTGTGTGTGTGTGTGTGTGTGTGTGTCTTGGGTGGGATTTCTGTGTGTGTGTTATGATGGTTCTTGGGCAGATGCTGATGTTAAGTGAGATATTTCACTGTTTTCCCCTTTGCACTTTTTTTTAAGGAGAAGTCTAAATATTTGCAATAGTTAGGAAAAAAGGAAAAAAGAAATCTAAATTTTAAGTGTTAGTACATTTTTCTACTCGCTGTACGCAAAGCTCCACTGTTGTCAGATATATTAAAAACACATCAGTGTTGCACTTAGTGGAACTGAGTCAAATATAAACTGTAGTTTGTTGTTATAAATGTCCAGCTACCAAAGGCTTTATGGATTTATCTATAACCTAAAATAGTTTCCTGTAAATAAAGTGTAAAGTTAGTGTTACTAAAAATCTTTCTTTTCGCAACCTGTTTTTAGAGGAGGGCTAACACGTCATTGATTGTTGGTCTTTTTTATTTATTGACAATAAGAAAAATATTTCTGAATCAGTAAATCTACAGATTTCTTTTTTCAAATTTAAGAGAAGTATTTTATCTTTCAAAGCTTCTGGTATTTTGCTATAGCCAATTAGTTATTTATATTTTTTGTATCTTGCTTTTGAGCAAGAGAGTGCAAAGCACCAAGGAAAAAAAGGTAGAAAATAGTAAAAATTGTGAATATTTTACATTTGACACAACCGGCCATGACCAGTGAATATTTTTTGCTTATAAGTTGTGTAACCCATTAATGCAGATTAACTAATCCTTTAAGCTGTGTTGGCAGTCTTATGTTTTAAGATTAGCAGTCTTGTTTATGCTGTGGAAAAAAAAATCAGTAGAAATAAGCAATGTGTTTCTGATGAACTGTGCAAAGTGTGAAGCCTTCACTGACATTTTGTACATTTTTGTGTAGATTACTACAATGCTGCAATACAAACTGTTGTGCTGTGGGTGGGTAGGTGGGGCTGTAAAAGCATGGCGTTTTGTTGAATTAAAGAGCTTATGAATTGCATTATGGGAAATGTAGTCCAGCATGTGGCAAGCTTAGCCCATGACAGCATTTTTATATACTACATAGTAATGTTTATAATATTGCTTTAACTGTTGAAATATGAAATAGAGAATTTGTGATTGTGAATAAAATAGATAAATAAAAACAGGTAAACATCAAAATGTTTTCCTAAGATTACATTTCTCTCTTCTTGTTCTTGTTCTTGTTCTTCTTCTTCTTCTTCTTGTTCTTGTTCTTCCTTTTTTTTTTTTTTTTACCCCAAGATTTTTCAGGTGTTTTACAATCAGCGAGAGTCTGAGAGTCGGACTTTCTGTTACTTTCTTTTAATTCCTCAGGTTTTATAGATCTGCTACATTGCTGAAAACAAATCCTTCAGCATTTGTTTGGTAGTCTGTGTGTGGTATGATGTTAAACCTGAACTTTAATGTAGTGTCTAATGAATGCAACTATTTCAACTTTTACCTCAAACCTTTTTTATTTTCTCCATGTGCTTCATGTGCCCAAGTTTTTCCAGCTGTACCACCTGCTCCCTTCAGGGCGATCCAACGGCTGAAAACAAAGCTGTATGCAAATGATACCTTGACACAGACTAAAGGGAGCGGGCTTTTTTCAAACTGATGAGTCAGGGGTTTGTGGAGATTCTCTCCTTTGTGAAGAAAGGGGAAGAGGTGTAAGAGGGAATCAGCACATAGGAGATTGTCACTTACATGCAGTTTGCATCCTGCTTGTTGTCGTAAAGATGAGGAGGAAAAAGGCAGACGGGTGCTAGTATTATAACCTGTTCTGACCTCATCTGCAAGTGTGAATGCAGTAATACACATGGCATGTATGAGGTTATTGTGAAAAGACCAAAGTGCTTCAAGGACCTACATGCTGCAATGTTACAGCGGAGCCCTTTTAAATAAACAACAATGCTGGTTTCATCAGTCTGTTAAATGGTGACGTCCTGTTATTCAGACATGTCACTTTTATGGCTTCATGTAAGCGTTCCTGCAACAGTAATGTAACCATGCATAGTACTTGCAGTATATAATGTTCTGTACATGAGATTCCAAAGAACAGAAAGAGTTTCATTAGCCAGACTCTGTTCTCCTTATTGAAATTGTAAAGCTTTATTTGATAACGTCTTAAATCTGTGATAGTTAGAATAGAGGCCTGTGAGTGGATGTGGCAACTAAAAGCAAGCAAACCATCTTTTTCACTCTGTTTATATGTTTGCAAATGTTGAAGTAGCCGGATATTTAATAAACAGTCTAACAGTTTATTTTCCTTTCTTTTTTGCCCCTGACATGATGATGATTTCTCTAAAAAAAAAAAATTGTCCCCTTGTGAGCTAATCAACTGAAGATAGAGGAGAGCTCTGTGCATGCTGTTAATGTGACTACGTGCATTCAGACTCAGGATGTATTGAAAGTTTAAAGTGATGCATGTTTGACCTTTACTGAAAAGTGACCAGACTGCCATTCATATACGAAGCTAACATAATCAGATGGAATCACATAAGCGGAAATGACTGTCTGAAAGTAATCTAAGTAAGGTGTAATCTTGTCAGGTAGAGGTATTACACATTAGAGAGAATTGGAAAAAAATTATTTAATACTCGCATGATATATTTTTTGGTACTTAAAAGTTAGGTTAATCTTCTTGGAGATCATTATTTTTCCTAAATTAACTTTAAAATGGTTTAGCCTGTAAAATGTCAGAAAGCAGTGAATATTGCTGACAAACTAGGAGCTGAGATGTATGAATATATGTGTTTAATCATTAATTTGACCATTGTTACTGCTCAGCTGTGAATTTTCAGCTAAAGGGTTTCACGCTCTCAACTGGAGACATCTGAGCTTACCAGAAACAGCGAAAAGCTGATGGAAAATTGAATGAATGTTCTCTCATCAGGCATTTTGGTGAACGGTGCATTGTCCGTAGCATGTCGGAGCAGTCCAGCGTGGGTGTCCTGTTGCTCAGGAGGTCAGAGGGCAGCCATGAATTAAAAATGTGGTTTCACTGTGGCATGGCAGAGATGGTTTTGTGCCATGGTGAGCTCCAGTTACAGTTTCACATTGTATTCATTCTAACATGGCAACAGTTGTCAACATGCTACACTAGATTCACCTCTGCTAAGTTCTTCTGCTCTTTTATCTATGCTCCACCTCTCCACCGCCCTGCATCACTGAAAAACATTTATTTCCTCGACTTCTTTTGTCATTACTTCAGTGTGTCACCGTGGCAGCTTTGTTTTAATTTCCTGTGACTCAAAAAGCCATTTTCCACTAGTACCTACTCAACTCGACTCGAAGGGACTCGACTTGGTTTTGGTGGCTTTCATTACATATGAATGTCACCTAATGTGCCTGGGGTCATTACACCAATGCTCTTGAAAGTCCTGTGATGCCATTTGCATGCGACACACACAACCCTACAATGGAGGACGTCGACGCGATGGTATACCTGCTGCTCGGTGTACAGCTTTTCGTCAAACTTGGGGACCGCGGTGTTGTTGGTTTTTTTTTTTTTTGTGTAGCCATTTTCAAAAATGGCGGGTTTTGTGACGTAGTCGCTCTCATGACTCATGGAGTGAAGTCAGTGACTGGCCAATGTGTGGAAGCCTGTCTGTTGATACCATCTAATGGAAAACCCTATACACTGAGCCGAGCCAAGCCGAGTAGGTAATAGTGGAAAGGGGCTAAGAGAAAACATTTCTATGCACATAAATTAGCTGATTAGGCAATTAATCTAATTGTTTTTTTTACTAGTTATAGAAGTCCTCATTTTTTCTTTGTGGTCTAAATGTTTAAGTTCAAAGTTAATTAAATAAATCATATATTGAAGGACTTCTTTCTCAGCAGCTCCAAACCATGACCAAGACACCACCATGTTTTACAGATGACTGTAGACACTCACTGTTGTACTTCTGTTTTTACCTCCTCAATACATACTGATGACTAAAGATGTAAAATTTTGATCCAGTAATTCATAAAACATGTTGGCACTGATTTTCAATCCAGTTCTTGTGCAGTTTGGCCTGTTTCCCATCCTTAAGATTGATTCCTGGCGGCCACCCTCCCACTGAGAGTATCTCTGATAAGGCTTCGGGAAACAGTTGCTTGATCAACTGTTAGGCCAGATGCACTTCCCAGGCCTGTGTCAGTTCTTTGCAGGACGTGACTTTCAGATACTGTTCATTTCCTGTAGATTTTAAAGACATGCTGCACATGTCAAGTTTTCAGCTAATATCTGATTGAGAATCACCTTCCTGGTCCAAAAAATTATATTTTATCCCTGGTTAACTGTGTTGTCTTTTTTTCTTTTTTTTTTTTTTTTTTTTTTTTTAATACACACACTCCTGTGTTTTTGCGACAGGATGCTAGTAACAAAATGCCTCACGATACGGTTTAAAATTGGTTCTTTGAAGGAACTGCAGGTTTTTCAAATAATTATAAATAATTGTTTGATGAAGACTGCCTCGTATCTACCACAGTCATGCTATTTTAATCAAATGAGATAAGGGCGACCATGACAGCATCCGTCCTGTAATCCCAGCACTTTAGCGTGGGAAATGGCGTCACACCTCTGTTTTAAGTAGGGCTGACATATCACTGTATGACACCATGACCAGAGGTGTTAACAGATGTAACTCCCCCCCAACCCCCACCACCATTGTTTTTTGCATTTTTAAACTGTATGCAGGAAGTGAGTGATGGCATGCTAGAAGGGAGCAGGCTGGGGGAAAAAGGATGCTAATTTTATTTGTGTGGCTACTTGGCCTGTTTTTCAGACAGCCAAACATGCAGAAAGCATTTCAAAGCTGACATGTAACTAAAATGTAAAACTCCTTTACTACGTTTGGCTCACAGTCCAAATGTATATTAGTCATAGGAATGTGTCACCTTTTCCGAGCAACTTTACAGGTGTGAATCATCACTTGTTTGCACCGCACTTCTTTTATTTCCATAACTTACTGAGACTTTGATCAGACACAAAGTATATTCAAACAATGCACATTTCAGGAAATTCCCCAAATGCTAGTGTTTGTGTTACATTTCAACGGGCTTTGGCCTGCTTTACTTGTAGAGCAGGTGATGCATTTTGTCAGTTGTCTGGATGCGTTTCAGCTTTGCATAAAACCAGTCTAACAGACTGATGATCAAGAGCCAACTTTATGCAGAGATGTTTTCTTCAGTTTGATTTGCTGCCGAGGTCAGCAGGGACAAAGTCAGTGATGGCATGCAAAGAGGTAAAGGAAAGGAGGCTGGTGAATGTCTGTCCATCATCACCAGGTGGGATCGACCTGCTAAAAGGCAACCTTGCTCTTGTTTCCTCATGTTGTTGTAATTTTTAGGTGAATAAATAATATACTTTCTAAGATTTGTTCCTGCCAGACTTTTTCTTTTCTTTTGATGTAGACTCTCCTCCCCCGCTTGCTCCCGGTTTCACCCCCGAACCACTCCCTGTTCTTGTGCCTCACTTGTACAAGAATAAAAGCACAGAGTATGCTGGTTAACATAAATCAAAGCCTTTGGGCTTTGATTGGGATTATTATAGTCTTGTTTATTTTTGAGCACCTACGCACATCTGTTTTGCATCAAGATATTGAAATACGACTGCATGCACAGGAGGCCCTCGCAAGGAGTTTAGCTTATATTGTGTGTACATTTTGTTCCCTGCCCTCTCTTAGAGGGGCTTGTATTTCTCCCTCAACACCCAGAACACAACTCCACGTGACACCGCTTTTCTTTTTCTTACTCTTTTTTTCACATGGCAGGAGGAAAAAAAAAAAGGACCTCTGTGCATGTATCGTTTTATTTATTGTTCACAAGTATACTGGGTCAGTGTCACTGTATAAGCGTGCACAGACGCGCCTAAGCCATTTCCTTTTTGTTATCACCATCTGCTGTGACTTCCTGGTATTTCAGAATGCTATAGATGGTCTTTGGTGGTGGTTTTCAAACTGGCAGAGGTGAAGTGGCATTTGGAGAAAGGAAGGCGGGGCATACAATGATCAGAACAGGTACATGCCAGTGTTCTTCAAACAAAAGGGAGCTCAAAGAGGCAGTTAAGGCAATGGATTTCTCTTTGGGCCAAGTTAGCCCAGCTGGGATTGAAAAATTGATCTCTTTTATATTTATATATACACAAACGTGTGTGTGTGTGTGTGTGTGTGTGTGTGTGTGTGTGTGTGTGTGTGTGTGTGTGTGTGAGAACATGCCTTCTAATGCTCTGATGCTCTGAAGTTGGGTTTTGTGACGTGTGAGTCTAGAGGGATTGGCTCAAATCGCAGTTAGAGCTGAAGTTTTTGGCACAAGAATGTTGCTTCTTGCTTGAAATTCAATTATCAAGTCCATAAACTCATCAGGAAAAAAAACTGTGGCCTAATAGGAGCTTCCTCGTCTGCTTTAAGTTTCAGACCAGGAAGCTGCGTCCATCTTTTATATACAGTCTACGATGGTCATAAAACTGCTTGGGAATCTCCATCTAACTCTGAAATGTGCTTTACACATATTTTTAGTTTTCTACAGTTTCAAAGTAATCCAGTATACATAAACATACATAAACAGGAACCGACAGCTGCTAGTTTGGCATCATTTAATTGGAGCCTGTTTGCCAAAATGTAAACAAAGATAGACTAAAAAAAACATTATTAAAGAACAGTAAGACCAAGACATAAATACCAACATGTGTTGCAAAATCTTCCTATACAAACTCTTGTTACCTCACTGATGATACCTGATCTAAGTACTGTACATTTAAGCTGTTCTAACAAGCTGCCTTAACTCCTGCCAGATTTCTCTGGAGACTGAGCGACTCGGCCCTCGTCGTGTGGAGAGCCTGAGAAAAGAGGACGAGGAGTGGCAGAAGAAGGCTCACGCCGCAGTGCTTTCCATTCAAGACCTGACTGTCAAGTTCTTTGAAACCACAACTCGGTCTCAGAAAGGTAAACACACACAGGAGGCGAGTTTCTCTCTTCAGAAAACAATGTGTGGCGTTGTTTTTGTGGTGACCTTTGAACCTTTATAAAAGTATGTTTACTTCATAAGAGAGCGCTTAGAGATCATGTGAGAATAAAACATTCTGGCTCTGTTCTCATCTCCAACCTCTGGCATACCAAAGTCATTAACATACACTCCACCCTGACTCGTGACACATTTTAATCCTCAAACCTTCTCTGCTATGAATTGGAATAAAAATGTGTTTTTCCTCAAATGGGCTTTATTTACTTCGGATTTCAAGTCAAAGCACTGCTGGTTTGTCCATTTTAGGCATTTAACGCTCCAGAAATAAACTATAGCGTTTAGGCCAAACCATTTTCTCACATGTTCTTTTTGCTCCAAATGATTCAAAACTATTAACCACAATTATGGTCATTAAACTGCTGTTTAAATGTCTAATCATTTGCCAGATAACTAGCTGACTAATCTCTGCAGCTCTTGCCCTTTTCACTTACTTCTTTACTGTATGCGTTATAGCTCTATACGAGAGGATGCGAGCTGACCAGAGAAAGTTTGGGAAGTCAGCGTGGACAGCGGCGGTTGAACGCATGGAGCGGCTGCAGTTTGCCGTTTCCAAAGAAACTCTCCAGCTCATGAGGGCCAAAGAGATCTGCCTGGAACAGAGGAAACATGGCTTGAAGGAGGAGGTAAAACATAACATGCTGATGCTGCTGAAAACCCCCCCAAAAACAAATCACACATGTGGACCAAGATCGGTGTCAAAATTCTGAAGTGTATCTGGGTGTGTTCTGAAAAGGTGGTTCTCAGTCCAGTCAGGTTTGTTTTTAAGAAGCCACAATAAGAGGACATGGATATAGTGAAGTTAACAGAAGAGAAGAACTCGAGATAATAGCCGTGTTGGAAAAATGAGCTCATGGCTGTGGCATCCTGTAATGGAGGGAACAACTTCCTGGTCTGCAGGAGTGGAAATGACTCACTGGGAATGACTGTCAGGTCAAATGTTTGCTGTGCATTTGAAAATACACTAAAACTAAAAATGTACCTGGTCAGTGTGTTGTAGCATAGCACTTAGAGAAGACACAAACACTGGCTCAGCTTCCACCGGATCTGTTAATGTGAAATATAAATGCACAGTCACTCAGGTAGAGCTTTTGGAAAATCCTGTGGACGGTGCCCTTTGGCCTTTGAAATAGTCTCTGTGGTTGTTGTTGTAGATGCAGAGTCTACAGGGTGGGGAGGATGCCATGCTTCGCCTGGACCAGCTGGAGGCGCTGTACTATGAGTTACAGCTGCAGCTGTATGACATTCAGGCCGAGGTGCTGCGCTGCGAGGAGCTGCTGCTCACTGCCCAGCTGCAGAGTCTGCGCAGGCAGATGACAGGTGAGCATCTCTTTAGATGGTTTGGTTCAGGTTGTTATTTTTCTTTCTCTTTTTCTGTTATAGCTCAGTGTGTCAGACTCATGACTGATGCTTACATGTGCTGAAAAATGTGGTTTTCAAGTATAAAACAAAATGTTTTGGCTTCTCATTGGTTTCCAACCTCATCCTCCAGTTAAGTCCTTTGCTTATCCCGTGGCACCACAGCTGTCCTGCTTTGACTTTATCACCAGTACCACTTTTTCTTCTACTCATAGTCAGTCAGAGATCAAATCCTCGAGCCATTGTTACGAGCTGTATAAGCTGCACGACCAGCATTTGAATCTTCAATGTCTTCTGATTTTCTGCCAGAGCGACAGGATGAGGTGGTGTACTACGATACCTTTGAGAGTCCTGATGCCATGAAGGGTGTAGAAGACCCCACGACCCCACCGTCACCCCTCAGAGAAGAAGAACTCTGCACCCTGCAGCAGAGGACCCGGCAGCTCGAGGCCCGCAGGGGCCGCATCACTGCCAAGAAAGTCTACCTCAAAAATAAGAAGGTGAATTACCGATGGATAAAGATACGGTCGTGTGCTTTATCTCCTGTGGGTTAAGGATCAGTTTGACAGGTCTGTCTATAATAACATTATGTTTGTGTTCTGTTCTTCCTCAAATAGGAAATCTGTATCATCAATCACAAGCAGAAGATACAACAGCGCCAAGGTAGCCATACTGACAGCAAATCCCTGCAGGAGCTGCAGCAGGTAAGAAACTTCTATCTGTGGCTGCATGGGATAGGATTTATATATTCACTGTTCTACTCTGTCAGTAAATGAAGAGATGATATTACCAGTTAATTCAATGCAGTTTTATTTTTATAGCACCAGAAAGAAAACAGGGAGTCCACTTTGATGCTCATAGACATGGCAAATATTCTGTGGCAATGATCGAACTTTTTTGATTTAGAGCTTGCTGCGAGACAAATTTCAAATATCGATACCAAAGCAGTGAAAGCAGCAATTGTTCCTCACCCTGCTACAACACATTCATCTCATTTGCTGTTTCTGTGAAAAGGGAGATGAAGATGATGAAGCTAAGCGAAACGCCAGAGTGAGTCAGGAGAGGCAGAGGACACTTGACAGGCTTCGCAGCCTCAAGCAGGTGAGGACTTAACATAAACACACACGTCATCTGAGGAGGAACCTTCACTGAATCCTCCTCAAACACCAATGATTAGTAACTTTTCGTTTTTTTAGTTAAAAGATGATTTTGTGTTTGTCCACAGTGTTTTATGTTCTTGTAGTGACATCTACATAGTCTTGATACATTAACCTCCTAAGACCCGAACTCTTCCACAGCATGCATTTTTAATTTCTCTTTGATATTTGGGCTGATTGGGACCCGATGGATGTAAAAACAAAGAACCTGATTTTTGTTTCTAAGAAAAGTGAGAGCCACATATGAGGATATTTGTTTCAAATTTCAATAAAACAGTGGCAGTATAATGTCCTCGTAAGTGGATATCAGGCACTTGTAGAGCAAAATGTAGTATTTTGGTCTAAATAACCCAAATTGTGATGTCCACATATGTGTACGCCAGGTCCTAGGAGGTTAAAGCAAAATCATGTGTGTAATGTTGCGTAAACTGCACTCAGTCCTTCAGCTTTACTTTCTTTCTTGCTGCTTCCCCACACAGAGGTATCCAGGCCAGGTGACTCTAAAGTCAGGCCGCCTGCGCCTGAGTCAGACTCACAGTCGGAGGCGTGCTGGGCAGCAGCCCAGCACCCAGGCTGCCGGCGTTCAGACCGACTGCATCTCAGATCTCCCAGAACTCTCTGCTCCTCTCCCGCCGGACGCGTACGGCTGCGACAGCGTCTCTTTACCTGCGGTCGACCTCCAAGGCCTCGATCCCTCGCCTCCCTTCCTATCGCTGCCCCCACTCTCAGCCACGCCGTCAAACTTTTCACTGGGTCCCCCTCCCCCGCCTCCACCGCCTCCTCCTCCGCCTCCTCCACCACTTCCCACCTCAGAGGACGACCAGCAGAAGAACCTCACAGCCGTCACGCTTCAACACCAGAAAGGCGAGTCTGACTCCACCTCGCTCCCGCTGGCTCCATTTTCCCCTCGATTCTTTGACAGCAGCCAGCTGTTAACGGCGAGGAAAAAGCTGCGGAAGACGGCTTCTCTGGACTCGTCGCAGTGGAGGAGAGGTGGGCAGGGAACTTTTCATTGCAGTAGAGACCTTCATGGTTGGTTAATACTACAAATGTTTAATGTAAGGCACATAACACTCATTCGGTACCTACTTTTAAATGAGGTAATTTAAGCATTTTATCAGTCACAGGAAATGGTGTATTTAAACAGAGGTTGGAGCTAAATTGTGTGTCAGCAGTAGGTTGTTTGGCTGTGTGCTAAACGGCGAACCAAGCCTCTAAACACTGTGAGGCTAATTGTCTCTGCCCTGTGTTCTCAGCGAGCTCTCCCATGGATGAGGTGCTGGCATCACTCAAGCGGGGCAGTTTCCACCTGAGGAAGGCTGAGCTGCGGGTCTTGGGCCCGGATCCGGATGACGACAGCAACAATATCCTGGCTCAAATCCGACAGGGCGTCCGGCTTAGGAAGGTACGGACCAGACCGGAGCAGCAGCGTCATCCCAAAAGCTTCCCCCACTCGGCCGACGCTCTGACCCGCAGCATTCACGAGGCTCTGAGGAGAATCAAGGAGGCCTCTCCTGAGTCAGAGTCAGAGGATGAAGGTCTTCCCTGCACTGACTGGGAAAACTAATGCGGTTCATCGAAGGAATCTTTTAAACCCCCCCACCTTTTTGTTTTGTTTTTTTAACACAAAGAGTTTAAACAAAGTGAAACCAAGTTAAGCAGGCAAGCCAGGGTTAAGTCACCTGGAGATTTCTTGGTGCAATTTGAACAAAAACCCTCGATTTTTCTTTTTTTAATATATATTAGAGGATTTTTTTCTTACTCATGTACGCTGTTTGTAAAGATGGACCACTAATCTTTTTTTTTTTTTATGTCATTGCTGTGGCTCTCTGGGCGAGGATACAACCTCTGACCTCTCATCACGTCCGAGTCGTACTGTAGCTTGCTGTGACGGGTTTGTTTGAGGACACGAATTTTGCTCACAGTGATAGTAAACCTTCAGTCTGAGCGTTTACATTTTACTACACAACAAGCATTTGTACTGTACATCTTTTTAAAGGAATAGTTGGACTGAGTGCATACGAGAGTGGTATTAACATTCATATTTACAAAATCGCCAAACTTTGACTTTGAGATGAGGTTTTGTGTAATCACCCACGCAGTTTATCGGAATCAATTTGAACGTCCAGCATCTGTTTTAGGGCTTTAGAACTGTGAAAGCACCTGATTGCAGTACAAAGTGCCCCCAAATACTCTGAGGGCTGTTAGAAAATAATCCAGTTAACTTACAAATGTGTAAAATCCCTGTTTACCTGCACCTCACACAGGATGAGACAACTCGGCCGGTCATCAAAGACAAACGCAAACTTGTAGATTTGCTGCTTTTCAGCTCTAAATATGTGTGAGAATAACAGACCTGGGGCCAGATTTACTCGATGTGATGCTACTAATGCAAGAATGTGCTGATAATGCTCATAATGTGCAAATCTAACCACCAGTTCAACCATTGCAGTCTCCTGAGGGCAGTGTAAACGAGTGGGTCAAAAACATGCAGAGCGGACGAGGAAGCAAGTAATCCAGCAAGTGTAGGTTTTCACTCTAAAACAGCTGAAGGAGAATCTATATGTTTTGAGACAAAGACGAACTCTTCTGTTAGAACTCGATGAAGTCTGCGTGGGATCTTGGAGTTTGGGACAGCTGTTCTTGGGATAATGGTCTCAGGCAGGACCAGAGTAAGGCCAACCCCAAACCATCTGTCTGTCGAATTTACTGTAACTGTAAATGTGCTCATGACTCTGTTTCACTCCTGCATGCTGCGTGAGGCTGCTCATATTCAGGACAAAGACAAGACTCAAATAGGTTCAATAAAATGACAAATTCAACTCAAAAATGCCTGAACTTAAAAGGCGTATTAGGGTCACGGTGGTTCATATATGTACACAAACGTTGTACATTTTTTTTAGAAAAAAGTGTCAAATGTACGAGGAGAAAAAAAAAGTACAAATTTACGAGAATAAAACTCGGAAAAGGGAATCTGTCGTTACACGTTTCCAGGTTAAGTTAGAAGAAATTCAGATATGTGAACTCCTGGGACTAATAAGCCATACAAATATGTTCGGTATGCCTTTTTTCAAGCATACCAAACCAACTCCATGCATTTAAAAGTCATCCTCTGACCTGTACAGACAGCACTGGGATCATAAAGTTCAACACTGAAAAAAGACGTTCATATCAGCAATAACTTTGTTCTCATTTATGTCACCAACATGTAGATTCTGGGTGCTCCATTGCTGCAAATAGTTAAAAAATAAAAATAAAAAAGCTTATAAGGAAATGATATTAAATGTTCTCTTAACTGAAAGTCATTTAGTAATTTCCCTTGTAAAAATTGCCAATTATTGATAACAATAGAAGCTCGTTTTTACATATGGTTTGATTAACGGGATATCTATGTATTATACGTTTCGGCATTACACTTTGCAGACGGTCCCTGTGTTGTTAGTCCAGGTCAGAGCATGACTGGAAAAACATGAACATGCTGGAAAAAAGATGTTGTTGTTGTTCTAATGAGTTATTGATCCCAGAAGATCAGCTGAACCTTGAAAAGTAAAGCGATGCTTTTTGACTGAAACAAAAGCCACAATTTTTTTTAGTTTTTCTCTTAAATCTGTCGATTTTTTTCTTCTTTGCACTCTGAACTGAAAAATCTGTCTAATACATAAACATAAAGCCAGCCACAAAGAAAACCTGCCGGCGTCTTTTAGCTTGGTGCCGATGTAGACCAGTAGCACATCTGGCCCCTGGTGTTCCCGTCATAGTCACACTGTAACACTGTAATCATCAGCACACAAAGAGCTGTGGTTTTACATAACAAGCTTTATCTGTTGTTGTGCATCCTCCACTTCTTTTATAAGGATGCCATTAACACCAGGTCAGTATTTTGACAGATGTATACCTGTATGACATTTCTATTTTAGCTCCATTTGAAGTATAAATGATTTCTTGAATGTAGCTTTGGATGTTTTCTGTGTTTGGCAGAGTTTACTGTCCACCTTACAGATGGAAATATTGTTGGGACCAGATTCCCTTTCATTTATTACTTTGATCTTGATTCATCATTGACAAATAGCAGAACCAAAAAGCAAAAAAAAGTAGATATGAATCACTATAATGGAGCTCGGCTCTTTAGATACAGATCCACAGATTGTTATCGGTCTAGAATTTCACATCCTCTAAAATAAGAATTTGACATTTCTTTCTTGTTTATTTCTGCTTTTGTGCTAGAAACAAATTCATCTTAATTTTAAAATATAACTGCCTTTTAATCTCTTTATTGTGTTTTTTTTGTTTTTTTTTTTTAAAGAATTCAACAGTGCAAAATTGATCTGGCAAAAAGAAAATATTGACTAATATCGGTAAAATTGTTTTTTTGGGGTGTAGCGTCAGTCAAGAGGGGCCGATATCAGCTGGTAGTGTAATGATATTTGGCTGATATGTTGAAATTTTAGAATTTTATTTGTTTTTGTTTTTTGTTTTGTTTCTTTTTTTCTGTTTCATTTAGCATGTGATAGTTAGCTGCACATTAGCTAACCGTAACCTAGATATTTGACACATTTGAAGACATTGCTTTTGGCTTTAGGAAACGGTGATGGGTGTTCTTCCTTCTTGTCTTTATTTTTTACTATTATCTCCACACAATGAAAATAACCAGCATATTATTTTGTAATAATTCAGATGCTTTACACGGTGTGGCAGGGATTCATAGATGAGCTTTAGGAGTATGTGTGACGTTTCTATTTATTGTGCTGTTCTCATTTGTTGTTTTTACTGTCAGTTTCCTCACCTGAGAGATGCTGTCTTTCCACTGCCTTCTTTTATGAAAGATGTTTTCCGAGCTTGCTTCCTTACCTTATTTACTGGAGTTGTTGATGTGTGTGTGTGTGTGTGTGGGGGGGGGTTTGGTTTGGTTTTTAATATCTATTGAGAAAACTTGTTAACTGAAAAACTAATCCCACATTTTCCTGTTTGATAAGCCATGCACTGAGCGAGCAACATGTCATATATATATATCTTCTTTTTTCTTCTCACATATGCTGACATTGCACTGATAACATCAGTGCTGCTGTGTTTGAATGATTACCAGCTTAGCTTAGCATAAAGACTAAAAACAGAGCTAGCTTCTCTGTTTAAAAGCGATACTTAATGAGTTTTAGACGCTAGTTTTGTTTTGTTTTTTTATGATGTAATTATGTCAAAGCAGGACTGTTACTTGGCTGATTTTAAACACAGACCATCAAATTCTGACAAACCTGAATTTGGCCTTGTTTAAAGTAATAAATAACTACACATAGCAAATGTTAGGGAAGTGTGTTTATGTTTCATGTGTCTGAATACTGGATTTTTTTAAAATGAAAAATCTTTTTCGTCTCTAAACTAGCAGAAGTGGAAACACAGACTCAACAGTATTGCTCCTAAAATTCCTGTGGGGTTGTGTTCTAGTCTTCATGCTAAGCTAAGCTAACTGTAGCATTATGTTTTCTGCATACTGTATAACAGGAAGACAATTAGTTGACTGTCAGAGTAAAAGACTGCTGCTAAGTGTTAAAGTCATCATGAATAATTTGCACGCAGTTCCTCTTCACCCAGTTAGATTTTTAAATATATCTGTATGAGTGTAAACCTTTGGCAGCAGATGATCTGACTTTCTTCTTTTCTTTTTTTTTTTTTTTTTTTTAACTTTTACAGGGTTTGTTTTTTTGGGTTTTTTTTGTAACCATTTTAACTGTTAGATTTCAAATTCCACCCATAACTCTTTGTCAGTTTGACCTTTACGACCTTATGCATGTGATTGGTTTGATGACAAACCAGTTACAACGTAAGTGCAATAACGAAGATTGGGGGGGGGCTTTTAAGAATGATACTGTAATGAAATGTAAATCATGAAAAATATATCCGCATGCCTAAATGTATTGAAGTATTTATTGAAACTTCATATTTTAAAGAATTTTTAAAGCGTACAAATGTAAATGTACTTTAAGGTTTTCTTTTTGTTTCCTATCATGACATTCCTCTCTGCTTTCTAAAGGCCATTTATAAATATATATGTATATTTTTTCCTTTCAAAATAAAATGATGCACCAAAATGTTGTTTTTGAATCTTTCTTTAGAGTTTAACCCCCACATAATATGCTGTTATCATTCTAGTCCATAATCCATTTACAGAATCCAAAACTCATATTTTTATTCACCTTCCTGAGAATCATTGCTTTCAAGTTTATTCCCACAGACAGACAATTAAACAACACGTCTGTGTTTTTAATAGTTTTAATTGCTCCCCTTTCTTAAAGAGGAAACCCACCAACCCAGTCTGCTAATCCAGAGTAGACACTGCTGAGGAGCTGTTCCCCATCATCCCCAGACTCTGCTTCTTCTTCGAGGCTTGAGGAGATCCTCAAACTATTCTTTCCACAGCGTAGCTAAATCACCAGCACTCCATCCCACTATACAGTGTGGGTACGGTTTCCTCCTGAGATTGTTTGCCAGAATTGCTTTAAACCTGACCAAAATTCTTTGTCAGTGAACTCAACGAACTCTTCCCAGACCTTATTTCAAATAGTTTTTCTAATATAACACCTAATCACAACATAATTAGTCTCAAGGTGCTTTATATGACCCTACAATAATACAGAGGAAACCCTAGCAATCAGACGACCTCCTACAAGCAAGCCCTTGGTGACAGTGGGAAGGAAAAACTCAGGTACAGACATTGATGCATGTCTGTACCTGAGGTTTTGCTTCAGCTGCTGCCAGAGCTGCACTTTGCTTGGCCTGCCAGTACCTGATGAGTCCTTCAGTTTGACAGGTCCATTCAAAACACCATTAGAACATTGTGGGAACGTTTCCTGCTAGTTGAGATGCAAAATCAAAAACATTCATGGATTTAAATGCTTCAGGTTGACGTGCTGAATGCCTGGAAAAGTGACGGTATGCTGGTACTTAAATAGTCCAAAGAACAAGCTTTGAAATAGGACGCAAGTTAAAACTTAAACCAGGCAAGTCTAACTGCAGTCAGGTTTATTTAAACCAGGTTTATGACAGCAGGGCTGGTTTACTGTGCAGTATGCTCATTAAAACACAGCTGCAGCATTTTCATTTGGTTTTCTTTTATTAAAAACTCAAAATTACAATTTGTGTCTGTAAGCATGTGGTTAAATCAGTATTTCAAAGTCTTATTCAAATGTTTCTTTTTTCCCTTAACAGCACAAAAATCCATCCAAGTGTCCCGAATGTACCCGCGCTAACAACAAGCCCTTAAATAGTGTTCTTCAGGTGTACACGCTGAATCGTATTCCTCTCATTTTTGGCAATAGTAAATCCCACCAAATAAAAAGTACCGCTACTTAGCTACCATTGATGCATGTCTGTACCAAAGGCAACATCAGCAAAAATTCAGATCTGTACAGGAAAACATTATTTGGCAAAAGAAAAAAAAAACTGCAGTCAACCCGCCGCATTTTCCTTTTTCCTTCGATAAACAGCTCAAAAATATTGCCAGGTTTCAACATCTTGACACTCACGTACCACATGATAAAAAAAGATTAAGTGAAAATGAGATGTAAATAAAGATACTTTGATTTTGTACAACTTCCATCATAATAATAATCATCATTGTCACAAATTTCAGTAATAAATTAACAAAAAAAAGGATTCAATCATTGCACTTCATGTCGCAACAGAAACAAAGAGGGGAAATGAAACATCTGACTCACTCACACACACATGAACAAGTGCACTATGAATCCGTTATATCCTTAAAAAAAAAGCATATAGAAAGAAAGAAAAGACGTTTGAGTAAAATCCCACCTCGATGTCTTAAACGTATCCAAGAGGAGTAAAATTACCTGAAAGTGAGAGTGGAAAATGTTTTTGTAAACCCTCTGGTGCTGCCCTTTTGTATTGCTCATATATTTCAGAAGAATATTTCACGATAGATACCGACGTCCTCCGGATCCTCTTTGTGTCGAGTCCCCACAACAAATAACCGAATGGATCTCAGAGTTTATTTGGCTGATGGCGACGTGGGTTTTAATAAAGATTTGTGCCTGGAAAAAAAGTCGGAAAGAGGAAAAAAAAGAGAAAAAAAAACAAGAACAATCGCAGACTCTGAGTGACTGCATTTGAACGCACCAAAGCAACGTTTAAAAGAAAAAAGCGAATTTCGCCTTTAATGTTTCCGTAGAGCGAGGAAAGCTTCTGTGGATTTGTCCAGAGTGGAGCGGAGGGGAAGGCTTCACATGGCGGTTTGTAAACGATCTGAGCGTGGATGTGTGTTAAAGTATAAAGTCGTGTGTAAACCTTTACACGCGTGTGGGAGGAAAAAAACAAAAAAAAGAGAATTCAAGTTGTCAGTGAGCAGGTGAGTGCCGACATGCGGTAAAAGTCTCGGCGCTGGCTGCTGTGTTGGTGGAGGTGGTTGGAGGTGGTGGCACAGTCTTCGTCTCTCTCCGTCTAGCTGCCCTCCAGCAGCTTGGCCAGTGCGTCCCGCAGCTCGTTCAGCTCAAAGATTTTGCTGTCCAGCAGCTCCAGCAGGGAGCGCAGGCTTTTGCGAAAGGCTTCCCGCTCCAGCTGGCTGCTCTCCAGACGCTGCTCCAGATCAGTCAGCTGGGCCTCCAGCGTCTGGTTTCTCACCTCCGTCTCCTGATAGAAACGACACACAACGCTTTTTAAAAACGCACATTTTTAGCTTCATATTTGTAATTTGGGACTCCACTGAAAATCCTTGTTTAGTTTAAACAAGCCCTTTATGAAGCCTTCGTGACCCATTCGCATTTTTTTTTGTCTTTGCTGGTTAGCAGCACTGGTAATATTTTTTAACTCGGGCTTCAACCAATGCAGTATGGACGTTTTATTAATGAACCTCATGTTGGATTTTCTAAAAATGTTTACGTTGGATGCCCTTCCTGACACAAGCCTCCCCTTTTATCGGGTACTAGGAGTACACTGGCCACAGATACGCAGTCCATTACATTATACAGATTGATCATATTTAACATCAAAGCCTTCTTTGAGCAGTCTTGAAGGAACGGGGTCTACAAACAGAGGAAGTACTTACTGAAGTTACCTCGGATCAATCAGAAAGAAAGAGCTTAAATAAATATCAGTAGTTTTGAAAGTTTCTGTACATAATAATACATCTGTGGGGTGGCTATAAATAATTGTTTTCTCCAATGGTTAAAATTTCATTTGTGAAGACATTCATGAAGTCATTAAGGTTAAAGGAATATATCGCTACAGTGCTGAAGAGAAACCAAAGGTTGTTCTTATTTCCTTCAATCAGTGAGGGATAATAAGACGTTCTAGCTTCACAGAGGGCCGTTTTATAGAGCAACAAACTTTCGAGTTATCTGCTTTTAAGTCACATGTTTGTGACATGGACTGGAGTATGTCTGATTAGAGGCTTTCTTCCTCAGAGGAGCTACAGTATCCAGAATCATACACAGTGAGGCTGTAACACTAAACAGGTAATGGCATTATCACTTGTGGCCAGATAATGCCATTAAGCGGCACCAAAAGACAACACCACCACCCACACAGCCAAGGGGCTTGCAGACGTAGAGTTGCAACTGCCTGTATCAGAAAACCTGTCAATCACTGTGGCCACACCCCTAACTCCAACATCTGGATGCACTGCAAATTAATCTCTACCAGGCTATAAGCATTCTTTCTAATGCTGTAAAGTTAGCCATGATACTTTATGAGGACTGACTTAAGTGGCCAATGGAGGAAGTGCAGTTTTTGGCACTTCTGTGCGCCAGTTGGTTAAAAAATACGGTTTTGTAAAAAGATAGCAACCGCCAAAAGACGCTGAAATACTGGTCCACAATCCATGTTTTACATATACGGTGAATTTTTGAAATATTTATACTAAATACAGTCTGAAACAAGCTCCTCCTTCGTTAAAAGTTCACTTCACCCCTCACCTGGTTTCCAAAGACAGAATCACATTTGTAACTGTTTTATTAACATCTGTTACTGTGTGGTCAAGCAGTTTTCACAAAAATTAATATAATGCACAAATTGATTGATTTTATTATATTTGTTGATGTTATTATGAGGAAAAGACAAGTCTGCAACCCATCTGGCACCACTTCCTGGACTTGGGATGGTCATAGATGGAGTCCTTTTTTTGCTCTTTCTTACTCACTATTTACAGACTGCATTAATCTTTATGCAACACATGATCATTGAGCAATACTCACCTGTAGCCTCTGTGTGAGGGAATCTCTTTGGGACCTAAACTCATTGGCACTCTCCACCTCTGCTTTAAGTCTCTCCAACTCCTGCAAGCATGATCAGAAAGAGTGTACAGCTCAGAACAGATGGTAAACGCACCAATCAAAGTCCAGGCATGCAAAATCCACGACTTCAACCCAGTAGGACGAACAAGCACTCCTTGTACCTCCTCTTTAGCCTTCAAAGCCAACTCCAACTCTTCTATTGTTCGGTTGAGTTCAGTCTTTTGAGATTTAATCCCCGTCGTTTGGCCGCTCACGCACTCCAGCTCCGTCACCTGCAATCCAAAAAGGAAAAGAAAAAGCATTCAGACGTGGTAAAATGGGATCATGCAGTGAGTACTTTCCTGTGTGCAGGGACAGAGTGATACCCGTTTGTGCAGCCTCTCAGCTTCTTCCTGATAGGCTGCCAGCTGCTGCTTCCACTGTTTGACATTGGCTGTAGATTCAAGAAGAGCCGCCGTCAGTTTGGCATTGTTCCCCTTCAGCGCCGCAAGCTCTGCCTCCCAGTGCTTATTAATGCTGGATGAACTGAAAATGGACAAAGGAGGAAAGGGAATAACTGGAAAAAGGTGAAAAACGCCCTTCAGAATGTTCTTAAGCCCACAGTGACTTTCAACAGCATTTGGTGTAATTATTACTATACACGAGGTGTGTACATGCGTGCTTATTTTCAGCTTCGTGTTATTCTAAACGGAAATCTATGAGAGAAAAGATGGTGGCTGTCCCGTCCCAAAGAGCCAATCAAAGGCTGGACCAGGACTGTGCGCTGATGTACAAGTGCAGTATTTCTCAGCTTGCTGTGACCATAATACAAATTAACAAGGCATCTGTGGAGTGCTCCGGTGGGATGAGCAAAGATGCTGATCATGTGGGAATTTCAGGCAAAAACAGCTAAATGTAATAAAATAATAATAATAATTCTTTGACAGCTGATTCTGTTTGGTTACCATGAAAATTCATCTTCTTTCATTTACACAGAGGCTTCAAAAATAAAGAATAAATCTTCCCACTCAAGTGTGCGTGTTGTGAAAAAAGGTGCCCTACAAAACCAACAGAATATTTCTCTCTGTGCACCCTAGAGCTGACCACCATGAATAATTCTTTGTGTTTCAGGCTTCCAGACTGTTTAATATGAATGAAGACCCAGCTGAACTAAAATAAAGTGCTGAAAAGTGATGTTACACGCTACTAAACAAGAAGTGCGACTGTTTCTGCGATCCAGTGAACTTTGGTTTACCTGTGTGAGAAGGGCAGTGCATTCTGGGAAGGCTCTGCTCTGGCTTCGGGGTGCTGAGGTGTATCTGGTGTAAC